GCGACCGCCGCGGTGCGATCGTCGACGTAGAGCTCGTCGAGCCGGAAGTGGGCGCCTTGCCCCGCCACGTCTCGGTGCGCGGTGAGCTCGATGCCGCCCGCGTGGAGCGACGCCAGCGGAGCGCCTTCGCGTCCGACCAGCGACAGCCGGACCCGCTGCACGAGGAAACGCGCCCGCGTCCTCTCAATCGTGGCCAGCGGCTGCGCGCCCGCGGGAAGGTCGGCGCCCTCCGCGGCCAATGCGGCGGGCACGCCGGCCTCGCCGGCTGGCTCGGCAGTGCCGCTCTGCAGCGACTCGAGGATGGCAGCGGCCATGCGCAGCTGCTCGGGCGACAGCTGCAGGTGCAGCGACTGCGAGCTCGCCTCGGAGAGGGAGCCTATTCGCAGCTTGCCGTTTGGTACGCCGCGGCTCTCTTCTCCTGCCCAGCCTCGCTTCGGAGAGGGAGAGCCGGAGACGACGACGTGGTTGAAGGCGTGCGACGAGGGCGGCAAAATGCAGCGCTGCAGGCCGACGTCGACGCCGAGCTCGTAGACCTGTGCACAGCGACGCGCGTGTTAGGACGCCGCCGACACCTCAACAGACCGCCGCATCCGAGCACCAGGTAATGGGCCCGCTCTGGCGCCGCGCGCAGGCTGGCTTTGCTCGGCGAGAGGATGACCTGTTCACAGCGTGCAGGTGTGAAGAGACGCCGTTCACAGCTCCTCAAGCAGCTCGGCGAGAGGAGGACCTGCGAGAGACGAGCGGAAGCGAGCCGAGGTGCAGCCGAGGTCTAGCCGAGGTGCAGCCGAGAGGCGGCCGAGAGGCAGCCGAGAGGCAGCCGAGAGGCAGCCGAGAGGCAGCCGAGAGGCAGCCGAGAGGCAGCCGAGAGGCAGCCGAGGTGCGGCCGAGGTGCAGCCGAGGTGCGGCCGAGGTGCAGCCGAGAGGCAGCCGAGGTGCGGCCGAGGTGCGGCCGAGAGGCAGCCGAGAGGCAGCCGAGGTGCGGCCGAGGTGCAGCCGAGGTGCAGCCGAGGTGCAGCCGAGGTGCAGCCGAGGTGCAGCCGAGGTGCAGCCGAGGTGCGGCCGAGAGGCAGCCGAGGTGCAGCCGAGGTGCAGCCGAGGTGCAGCCGAGGTGAGGCCAAGGTGCAGCCGAGGTGCAGCCGAGGTGCAGCCGAGGTGCAGCCGAGGTGCGGCCGAGGTGCAGCCGAGGTGCAGCCGAGGTGCAGCCGAGGTGCAGCCGAGGTGAGGCCAAGGTGCGGCCGAGGTGCGGCCGAGGTGCAGCCGAGGTCCAGTCTGTTCGGGGAGAGGGTGGCCTGGATCGAGCTGATGCTGAGCGCGAAACGGTCGTACAGCCACTCCGGTCCGTCGCCGCTGCCCTCTGCAGACGCGTCGGCGGCGGCGGCGGCGGCCGTCTCGCCGCCCTGCGCCACCATTGAAGCGAGGCTGATCGCGCCCATGTCAAGGACCAGCACGCCCGTGTCGGGCGAGCTCAAGTCCTGCGGCGGCACGGGCAGTGTCCGGCACGTGTCTCGGAAGTGTCCGGCACGTGTCTCGGAAGTGTCCGGGACGTGTCTCGGAAGCGGCTCGGGACGGGGAGCTCGAGTCCTGCGGCAGGATGAGGCGCGGCGCGGCGAGGCGCAGCTGCACGTCGGTCGACTTTCGTCGCGCGAGAACCGACTCGAGTGTCACCTCGCGCAGACTCTCTGCCTGCTGCCGCACGAGCTGCGCCAGCTCGGCTCGCTCCGACTCTCCGAGCACGTCGAGGAAGCGGCGGACCCGGTCGAGAAGGCGGGCGTTGTGCACGAGCTCGAGCGGCGTCGCGACGGTCACCTCGAGGCGCTGATCCACCGGCTGCAGCTTTGCAGGGCAGTGCAGCAGCCGAAACGTCCACTGAGGGGCCACCTCGACCTCGCCCTCACCCTCACCCCCCGCCCCCGCCCCCCCCGCCGCGGCGCAGACGGGCGAGGGTGGCGCCGCCCGCACCACCGCCGCGCCAAACGACCCGAACGCCGCCGTGCAGTCGGTGAGCTCCACGCCGGCGAGACTGCCCTCGACAAGCGTGCCGGCGTACAGGCTGGCGGCGTGCATGGACAGGCGGGAGAGAGTGAGCCGCGCGACGCTCGCGCTCGCGGCGGCGCCGCCCTCGCTCTCGGGCGGCGCCGCCTCGACCAGGACCAGGGAGAGCTCGTCTAGCCGGGCGCGCAACTCGTACTCGACGCTGCCCGCGTCGCCGTCCTCGGCGGCCTCCTCCTCCGGCGGGGGAGTACCGGCGAGCAGCGCCGCAAGCTGCTCGCGCTGCTCGCTGCTCAGCGGCGTGCCCTCCACCTCCAGCTCGCCGTCGACGACGGCCGGCGCGTTCTCGAGGCTAGCGGGCTCCGAACCCGTCACCCATCCCCACCACGTGCCGCGCGCCTCGGCCGCCGGCGCCGCCGGCTGCTTGGCGGCCGCGCGCTCGGCGTCGAGCTGCAGCGTCGCGAGGGAGCGAAAGTGCAGGATGTCCTCCACCGAGAGCTGGTCCCGCTCGAGCGCGCGAAGCTCACGCGCCTCGCTTGGCTCGAGCTCGGGGGACGCGCCTTGCTCGCGCTTGAACAGCCCGACGTACCGCAACCGCACCTCGCGCCGCGCCTCAAAGAAGCCTGCGCCCAGCCGCCAGCCGCGCTGCCGCCGCCCCTCCGCGACGATGCGCCGCAGCGCGAGCCGCCACGCAGACCGTGCCGACGGGCCGCCGACGATCGGGCGCAGCAGCGCGTCGTTGTCGGCTGCGGAAGATGTGCCGCCCGAGAGGGCGGAGGCCTGGAACCGGTGCACGAACTCGGCCAGCCGCGAGCAGTCGCGCAGCTGCTGCTCGGCGAGTCGGACCTCGAGCGCGGAGAGCGATACCGTGGTTGCCGCCTTCGGCTGCTGCGCGAGGAGCGCCTCCTGCCTGCTGCGGTGCAGCACCACCTGCAGCCGAGGTGTAGCCGAGGTGCAGCCGTCGAGGTGTAGCCGAGGTGCAGTCGAGGTGTGGCCGAGATGCATGTGTGCGTGTGCGTATGAGTGTGCGTCCGACCGGTTGCGGTGCAGACACCACCTGCACGCTCGCGGAGATCGGGACCATCACGTAGTGCGGCGCAAGTGCAGACGACCCCCTCCCGCCGCCGCCTCCGCCTCTTCCGCCTCCGCCGCCTCCGCCGCCGCCTCCGCCGCCTCCGCCGCCTCCGCCGCCTCCGCCTCTGCTGCTTCCTCCCGCAGTGATCCCCGCCTCGCCCTCGCCGCCTCCTTCATCGCTGTGGACCAGGCCGCGCAGCCAGCGCGCGGCCGCGTCGAGCGTCGCGTCCGGCTGCAGCACCCTGACGCTCGCGGAGGGGTGGGTCAACCCGAGGTCGCCCCGAGATCGCCCGAGATCGCCCGAGATCACCGCGAGGTCGCCTGTCGCAGGCGCAGTGGTGGTAGACGGCGAGGCAGCGCAGCGCGGCCACCTTGTACTGCACGGACCCATCCGCGTTGTAGGCTCGCTCTCCCCTCTCATCGGCCGAGTAGACGGATAGCTCCGCCAGCGTGGCGCCGAGGGCAAACGGGGCGGTCGAGTTGAGCGCGTCTTCGTAGCGGACGTGCACGCTCCGGAAGGAGAGCTGCACGTTGTTGACGATCCGCGTCAGCAGAGACAGCCGCCCTCCCTGCCCCGCGCCGCCGCCGTCCGCCTCGGCCTCCGTCTCCGACGCCCTCTTGCCGCCCTCCGCCGTCGAGCGCTGTGCGGAGAGGTGGTCGATCCTCGCCTGCTTGCGCGCCCAGCGCCACTCCCGCTTCGCGCCCTCGTCCGAGCGCGACTCGTCCACCGGAGACGCGACCAGGTAGATGCCGTCGAGCGTGATTGTCACCGGCTCCGAGCCGAGACGGTTCCAAGGCAGCTGCAGCTCGGCCCTCTCGATGTACCCGGCTTTGATGTCGAGAGGGAGGCCCCATGCGTACAGCGCCTCGCGACGCAGCTTGAGCCGCTCGAGCGTGATGTGTCCCTTCCAAACCGCAACCTTGAGCGAATTGCGGTCGATGTCCTCGACATCTGCGCAGCGGCGGGCGGGGTCAGGAGATAGCGGCGGAGCGGGTGTGCGCGATTTTCGCACATTGGCCGAGGACGCGCTCGAGCACCGAGAGGGCGATGGACTCGAACATTGTCAAGCCCTGCGTGCGCTTGGCAGCGGCCGCAGCAGCCGACAGACGGGCGTACCTGGGGTTCGGCTCCAGGGTGTGGGGGAGACTGTAAAAAAAGAGAGAGGTCCAAAAATGGCCGCCCTCTACCCTACACGCTCGGCCCCTGCGACCACGCCTCGATCTTCTTGGGCAGCAGCTGGTTCATCAAGTCCTCTCCGTGGCCTAGGCAGCCGTGTTCGCCATTGCCCCACGTAAGGACGGCGCCGTCGGCGGGGAAGACGAGGTTGTGGTACTCTCCGACCGACACAGCAATGACGCGCTGGCCAGCCAATGCCTCGATCTTAGTGGTGCGGCACAGTTTGCGTGCAGCGCCAGCAGGGCCGACGCTGCGAGCACGAACGATGGGCAGTGGTACGGCATTGCAGGGCTGAGATTTCGGGATCTAACAAGCGAGTGTTGTACGTCTGGCAATGTTGTTTCAAGAAGCAGAAATCGCTCACTGTAAACACCCCCAAACCCCCAAACCCCCAAATCAGCAAAGGCCTCGATCTTCTTGGCGCACTTGGGCAGCAGCTGCATCTGCTCGTCGCCGTGGCCCAACTTGCCATACGCTCCATCGCCCCACCTCCAGACGCCGTCGGCGGTGATTGCCATGCTGTGGATGCGGGTGTAGCCGCTGACGTAGATGGCCTTGAGGTTGTCGAAGTCCAGATTGTCGGTGACGGAGATCATTTAAAGACGTCCTTGAGCGGCGTCATGATCTCCTCGACGACCTTGGACGAGAACTTGAGGGCGGAGGAGAGGAGCAGCTGGTCGTCCGTCGTGATCGCCTGGTCCGTCATGTGCATCTCGAGCAGCTTGTCGAGCTGCTGGCGCGTGTACGCAGTCGACATCTCGCGGCCGAGGACCAGGTCGAGCACCCTGGCGATCGGGAGGGTGATCGGCATGAGCAGGTACATGAGCGGCCGCACGAGGCACGTCGAGGCCGCGCCGATGCGCAGCCCGTGACGCGAGCAGACGGCCTGCGGGATGATCTCGCCGAAGACGACGATGACGGCCGTGGCGATGAGCCCGCCCGCGAGGCCTGAGGTGAGGTCGGCCGAGAGGATCGAGATCATCGCGTTCACCAGCGTGTTGCCCAGCAGCAGCGTGCACAGCAGCAGGTTGCCCTTTTGCCGCAGCGGCCGGATGCGCATCGCCCATCGCTGCTCCGTCGGTGAGCCGCCGTGGATGATGATGTCGAGGCCCTCGATCGAGAGCGAGAGCAGCCCGAGCGTCAGGCCGGAGAACATGCCGGAGAAGAAGATCAGGACGATCATGCCGAGAATATTGGCAGGGCACGTACGACGCGGCCGACGGCGGATTGAGGCAATCGGCCGCGCACTCGAAGAAGTCGGGCTCGACACGCTCCTCGCAGGTGGCGCTGCAGTTGGGCCCGCTGCTCGGGAGGAGGTCGAGGGCGGCGGCCGGCGCGCAGCATGCGACAAAGAAAAAAGTCCGCAGCAGGAGCGGCGACAGCGCTGCTGCGTGCAGCCGGGCGTGCTCTTCACGCCGCGTGCGCTGCCGTCGTCGTGAGACAGTCGCCGACGGCGCTCTGCTCGTGCCACACTGCGCAGCCAGCATGATCACGCTCCTACGGCGACCCGCCGACCCGCCCGCCCGCGACCCCTCCGTACCCCACCCTCAGCGCGGATTGGCCCTGGCTGCGCGCCATGCGGGCACAGCCGGCTTGCTGGCGCCGCCGCTAGCGCCCTCAGCCGCCTCGCTCGCACCGCAACCTCCTCCTCCTGCATCATGGCCCTCCGCACGGCGGCCGTGCAGCCATGCGGGCTTGCTGGCTCCCGCGCCAGCACCCTCCGGCTCAGCCGCCTGCGCCTCGCCCCGGTCGGCAGCAGCCGCAGCGGCAACTGCAGCGGCAACTGCGGCGGCGGCAGTGAGAGGCGGTGCGCACACGCGCATGTGTGTGTGTCGGTGTGGAGAGGCAGGGGTTTCGTGTTCGCGGTGGTGCCGCCTGAGGGTCGTGGAGGGAGCGAATGTGTGTGTGCGCTGCGCAGGTAAGTCCAAAGCTGGACTTGGTGGTGGCACCAACAGCGGCGGCGGCGGCAGTGGGAGAGGAGAACCGGCGGCGAGCCGCGCAGAGTGCGATCGCGACACAGGGGTGGGAGAGACAGTACAAAACGCGTGCGCATTCGGTGACCGGCAAGGGAGCTGGCTCAGCACCGCAGCACCATAGGCGCCGGAGTGGGCTGCAACGGATGGCAGGAGCGACAGACGCGCAACGGATGGCAAAGTGCCGGCAAGAGAGTGAGCGTATGCGATTGCGTGTGCAGCTCGACGAGAGGGAGCGCTTGCCGCAGCTGGGTGAGCGTGAGGGGGCGAGGTGGTGGCGCTCCTGGGAAGAAGAGGAGCACGAACAAAACAAAGGAACCAAGGTCGGAGAGGAGGGCGTGTCAAGATTTTCACGGTTTCTCCTCGGCCGTTCGGGATTTTCGGTCTAGCCGATGAATAAACAACGGCGGCGTTTAGACAGACGATCCGGAGGGCGAGGGATGGCGAAGAGAGAGAGAGATTGTTTGTGGGATATGGCGCGACATTACGGGCAGGCGATGTTTTATCAGAGCGGGCCAGCCAACTGAGCCCGGATTAGCCGAGCTGGCCCTAGAGCCAAAACACGTGATTCACCTCTAGAGCTCGCTCTCGCCTCCTCGGAGCCTCAGCCAAAATCTGTCGCTCCAGCGCCGTCGTCCGGGCCCACGGCCGGCTCGCCATCTCGATTTCCACTCGCCCGATGCGCTCGGTCTCTGCTGACGGCTGCCGCAAGAGCGGCTGGCTCACGACAGCGTCTTGCCGGTTGTCGGATGGGAGAGTACGGGACGTCTGGAGTGTAACTGTGTACGTGAGATCGGTCTTGGTAACAAGCACAGTCGGTCTATCGAAGCGATGCACTCGTTTCCGTTGCCCTTCGAGCTTGACACAGAGCTCAGCGCGCCCCGCAAAACAGGAAGAGCCGTCCGGCAAGAAGATCTCGATAGGGAGCGAGAACCGTTAGAGGTGCTCCGAGAGGTATCAAGACTCCGTCATGACGCGGTAAGATTACTCCAAAAATGACCGCGCAGATGTCGAATCTCGTTGAGATATCTTGCAAAATCTGCTCTTCCCGAGCCGGCAGCACGCAGAGAGTCGCAGAAAGGCTACGAGTGCTCGACGAGTTTTGAGACCTGCGCGGTCAAACCTGGGGGGAACTGACCGCACCAGGACGGACGTCCGAAACCTGCGTGAGCACCTTTGACGATTCTCGCTCCCTATCGAGCTCTTCTTGCAGCGCGGCTCTTCCTGTTTTGCCGGCACAGAGCTCCGTGCAAGGCGTCCAGCGTGACGTGGCGAGTATATCGCTTCGACGGATCGACCGTGCTTGTTATCAAGACTGATATGACGTACACAGTGACACATCAGACGACACATATTCTCTCACCCGGCGGGCCGCAAAACGCTCTCGACAAGAGCCACACAAAGCCACCCGCGCGGCAAGCCGCTCGTCGGACAGGCGTGCTCGATCGATGTCGGAGAGCCAAGGACAAGCCCGGAGGGCAGCCACGCAGAGTGGCGCCACTTCTCGAGCGTCGGCTTGCGCCGGAGCGCCGCAGCCAACCGTGCAGCGAGCGAGTCGGACAGAAGCCGCTAATCCGCCTCCAGGGTTGACTGGTAAGGGCGCCACACCCTTCACGATAAGAGTCGTGTACGAAAGGGAGGTGCTCATGTCGTCATGACCGAGGCACCACTCAAGAACAGCGTTCCTCGAGGCGCCACACGCTTCGTAATCGTATGCGGAATATACGGCGTTTGCATAGAGGCGACGCAAGTCGTGGGGGGTGAGCTTGGTGTCGATGAGGGTGCGTACGCGTGAGCTTCGAGTTGGTCACGCGCCACTCGCGCTTGGGTGCGATGCTGACGTCGCATCCGGGCAGCAGGCACGTGATAAGCTCATGCACGGTCTGCAGGGCGGCGGTCATGCTCTGGCTGAGGAGCGGCATGCGCTCGTCGGCCTTCTTGGTGCTGACGACGTCGAGCGGAGCGAGCACGATGCGCCGCGTGATGGGCGCCGCGTCCCGGCGGCGGCGGAAGGGCCACGCCTCAGCGGGCGTCGTGTAGAAGATGCGGAAGCTGTCGTCGTCGTCGCGCTCGCGCGCCTGGTAAAAGTGGACGGCAGAACCGTCTGTCCAGAGAGCGTTCTCCAGCCACTGCTCAGGCGTCCACGGCGATGAGACGATCTCGCCGTACGCGCGCCACCACGGCGCAAGCGAGAAGTAGCCGTCAAGCGTGGTGCGCTTCGAACGCAGCTCCAGAAGCTTTGCCTCATCGCGCTCGCGGCCACCAGGGTGCGCCTGGTCCCAGATGCGCCACCACCGTCGAAGCCAGCGCAAGTATCTGGCGAAGCCCTCGATCTGGTGGCGCACCTCGACGTTGCTGATGCTCTCGAGGTCCGTCATGTCAAAGGTGGTGCGGTCGGGAATGAGGGAATGAGGCTCCTTGACAACGGGTATGAAGCGGAGCTGTATGCGGCCGTGGAGCACGCGGCACGCAAGACGCACGGGCAGCAGGTCGTAGAGTTGAATGGCTGACAGGATGAGGTCGAGGAGCTCGGGCGCGCCCTCGAGAGCGTTCATCGGGCACGCTCGGTGGTCGGCGTGTCGCGGTCCGGGCACGCGGGTGTCAGTCCTACCAGCATGTCGACGCAAAGAGACCCCAAGGTAAGGTAAGGTAAGGTAAACTTCTCCACACACACGAGGTGGTGGGGCAAGGGGGGGCAACCCTCGCGTCTCCACGTCTGACGACAGGAGCCCCACGGCATTCAAAGTGCAAGGCCCAGTGCGCGTGGGTGAGCGGTGTGTGTGTGTGTGTGTGTGTGTGTGTGTGTGTGTGTGTGTGTGTGTGTGTGTGTGTGTGTGTGTGTGTGTGTGTGTGTCTCACGTCACTGCATCCTCCGCCGGTTCCTCCCGTCGCCTCTTCTTTGTTCGAATGTTTTTCAATCCATCCTTCACGAAGCCCTCCCATGTAGCTAGCGTTCTTGGCGAATGTCTCGAAATGGCCAGCAGGCGCTGTCTGCTCGCGGTCTGTGCGGGCCGCTCGTCCTCCTCGCCCTTCTTTCGTCCTCCCGTCCCTCCCCTCCACCATGGCCTTCTCGGCACTTCTTTCTCCATCCGCCTCGCCCTGCCTTTTCGCATCGTGCCGTTCGCCCTCCATTCGGTGACCTCCATGGCTGTCCGCCCCTTTTTGGGTGGCGCTCTCGATACGGTTGCGTCAACCTCGACGTCGCTGTCGCCCTCCCCGTCCCCGCCGGCGTCCGTGCCTCGGTTCGCGTCATCGGTAGCGTCTCCGTTGTTCCCTCGTGCCCTGCCGTCGCCCTCTCTGCTCGGGCCGTTAGCGATTTCGCTCCTCCTGCGTGTCGCCCCTCCGTCCCCTCCCCTTTCTTCGTCGTCATCGTCGCTGTCGCGAAAGCCCTCCGGTCCCTCGATTCCCTCGCCTATCCCCTCCGCTGCGTCGTCCCAGTTTATATCCTCATCCTCTGCGCACGTCGCGTTGGCTTCCTCTCTCCCCCTTTCCTCCCTGCCCCTCTCGCTGTCTGGTGTTAATGGACCCCCTTCCTCTCCCTCGCCACCGTCACCGTCACCATCCCCGTCGCTACCGCCCTCCATGCCCGCCGCCCTTTGTTTCACACTCGTCTCTGCCATGTCCGCCGTCGCCGCCGTCCTGTCTGCTGCGCTCTGTGCTCCGTGGTACAGTCGCTTATTGTTGCTCAGGATTAGCTCACGCACCAGGACAGCCTCCTGCTCGTTATTTTGGCTTGCCGATATGCATCCAAAGTTCCACGCTAGCTCCTCCTTCGTCACGTCTATCTTTTTGCAGTATCTCGCGAATGCCGTCCGTGCTTGCTGGGGTGTTATTGCGTTCGGATCCGCCCTGGTCCCCGCCTTGTATCCCATCTCCTTGCGGTGGCTCCTGTATGAGTCCCCATATGACCATGTGATTTCTTGGCCTTCCTTGACTCCCCTCTCTGCAAACAGGACCATCACCTGCGCAGCTGCCTTGCCTAATTGTATCTCCTCGTAGCGTACGAAGTGCGTCGCCCTCGTGCCTCGTTTCGGCTCATTCGATGCTGCAGGCCAGTCGAAGTTACACCGCGACGCTGTCAAAGTCGTCCCCGCTCTCGTCGTCACTTCCATCCAGCTGCGTCCCCCCTGCTGCCGTGTGTCGTGATAGTTCGTCTGGTGCTGTCTCTGGTGGCTGCGCCGTTCCTGTCCGGAAGATCTCCCCAGTGTAGATGCTACACACCTCAAATTTCTCTAGCCTCCTCGTCGCCAGTAGGCCAAGTTCCCCTTCCGCTATGCTAGAGGGGCCTACCTTCGCCCCTTCCACCGTGCCGCCCGTCGTTAGCATGGCCGTCGTTACTTTCGCCGCCGCCTCTGCTGCTTGTCGGCGGAGCGCCTCGCGCCTTCCCTCGTCTCCATGCTCCTGGTCTTGTTCTTTTTGTTTTCCTGCGCTTCCTGTCGCTGGTCCGGCGACGTATCTTGCCGTCTGCCTTCGCTTCCTGGCGGGCCGCGTTTCCTTCCCCTCGTCCCGTCTGTTTTCTCCTGCGTGGTCGCCCTCGCGTGCGCCGCTCGCCGTCTGTTCTCCTCTCTGCTCGCCGTCCTCGTCCCCTCGCTGTCGTCGCTTCCCTCCGGCGCTCGCCGCATCGTCGTTCCTCTCACCGCGTTTCCTGCGCTGGCCTTCGCCTTCGAGCTCGCAGTGGGTCGTTTTGAGTGTCATCCCCATCGCTCTCGTCGTTCTGCCTCTCCCCGCTTCGAGGCGTCTCTCTGCCTCTTCCCTTTCCTTCTCCTCGGCATCACGTTGTCGATGTCGCCTCCGTCGCCAGCAAATACACGCATTCGCCGCCCACTCCATTTCTCGTATCCTCTCCTTCCTTTCCTTCTGTCCCTCTCTCAGGCGTTCTGTTTCCGCGGCTACTCGTTCCTTCCTCTCCGCCTCGAGTCCCTTCCTCTTCCCTTCCCGTACTTTGATTATTGATGCCGCCGTCTGCTGCAGTGCCTTGAGTGAAGTCACCACCCGTGTGTCATACTCCCTCATGATGTCTTCTGGCGGGTCCTGGTCCATCACACTCGGCTCGGGTAGTCGTCCAGCTAGCAGTTGCTCCATCGCCTCCCATTCCTCGTCGCTCTCCCTTCTCCCCGCGCATCTCTTCGTCGCCCCAGCAATGGCGCGTACAGCGAGCGCCTGGGCTTCGCACTCTGCGGTGTGGGCGAGTGTCCGCCTCCTTGACTTCGGCGGCGTCCATCGTAGCGCCTTGAGCACGTCCGCCGCGCCTTTCCTCATCGCCCGGTGGTGCTCCCTCCTCTCCCCCTTCACCGCCTCGCACTCGGCGCATAGGACGTGCCTAGTGTTAGCTATTGTCCTGCAACATCCAGGATGCCAGCAACCTTCAGCCCCATCGGCACATGCTCCTCCTCCCTCCTCGTCCCACCCGTCCTGCCACGCCTCTGCCTCTAGGCTGGCCCTCCATCGCCTCCCGTGCTCTATACCTCGGGTCTGTCCCGTCCGCATGCCGTGTACCAGCCTTAGCCTCGCCTTCTCCCCGCAGGCCTCGGGCTGGCGCTGGGTCGATTTTGGACCCCGTTCTCTGTCTCCCTCGTATCTCGTGTCGCCTGATATCGTCCCCGTCGCCTTGATTACCGTCCTCCACACGTTGTCGTCTCCTCCCTTTCGCGCTGCGTGCCCGCCGTCCAGCCGCTTTCGTACCCACCGCCCAATTTTCTCCTTCGCTTCTTGATACAGCCTCCTGTCTCGGATCTCCGGCGCCTGCCCCTCCTCCTCATGCATGTAGATGCATGCCCTGTTCGTCACGTGTCGTGCTAGGTCCATCTCGTACGCGCTCGTTACCCTGCTCCGCAGGTGTGCCTTTGCCGCCGCGTCCGCCATGGAATTGGGCGCGTTGCCCGCATGCCCCTCCGTGAAGATGAAAATCACGTACCCTCCGTGGCGCTGTATAATGTCGATTTGTGCTTGCACCGCCGCATTGAGTGCGCTCCTATTTGTCTCGCCGCGTGTCCGCCCCCGATACGCCCGTTCGATCTCCTTGAGCGCCGTCTCGCTGTCCGACATTACTAGGCATCGGTGAGGCTGGAGGGTCGTTTCTGTTTCGTCCGCCTTCGTGCGCAGGAAGCTGTAAATGGCGTACATCTCGGCGTCGACAATCTCCCACGATCCCGGCAGGGCGCCTCCCCATATTCCCCGTCCTATTCGCTCGTGAATCTGTGCCCTGGTCTCTTGTGTATCGTCATCTCCCTCTTTCGGCTGCACGCCCTCCCATCCCCCGAACGATGCTAGCCTTCCGTCTCGAGTCTCCTTCAGCGAGGCGTCCGTCGCTGCCGCCGCTGTGAAGTGGTGCCACTTGTGCAGGCGGCACGCCAGGTCCCTCGCCCTCCACGTCGTGCTCGTTCCCCGCTCTCGCATGATCCGACACTCGCTTTCGTCCATCACGATCTCGTTCTCGCCCTCTCGGTCGTGTAGTCGCTCTTGCGGCGCGCTCCGGATTGCGCCCTCCGCCTCGTCGCTCCTCAGATACAGTCGTAGGACGGGGTCGCGAGCAATGTCGTTCCTCCCGATCTCTTCGTATCCCGCCCTTCCTCCTCCCTTTGTCCACATCTCCTGTACCGCCCCTCCGATCTCCTCCTCGATCGCGACGTTGTCGAGTACCGCTTGCGGCGCACCTCGCCTCCACTCCCCGCCACCCACTAGGTCGTCTATCTCTTGCCCATGTCCGAGCGTGTCCGGTTCGTCACTCCCCCACCATGCGTCCCCGCCGATCGTCGCCTCTCCATCGGCGGCTACTCTCCACTCGTCGCCTCCCCCGTCCAGGGCCATCGTCTTTTTCGTCTTTTCCTTCTGCTGTGCATCGCTATCTGCTGCGTCGCTCTCTGTGCTCGGCTCCTTGCCTAGGTATAATGTTCTGAAGGGTAGCGCCGAGCTATGTCTGTCGCGTCCGGTCTCGTTGCGCGTGCTCTCTTTGATGTTGTCTTGGCGTTGTCCTGCCTCGTCACTGTGGGAGGCAACCTCGACGTGTCGTTTTATTGTGGACCACATCCTGGTCAGCGTGTCGTCGTTTGGTCTCTGCGCCCCCGCCGTGTCCGCCCAGGTGTCGATTGCGGTTAGCATTGCTCGCATACCAGCCTCTCCTCTCGTTGCCGCTCGTTCGATGCGGTCGCGGGTGCTGAACGGTATTAATTTTGTGTCTTGCGCCTCCCTGAGCGCCTCTAGCTTCGCGCCCCCCATCGCCGCGATGGTCCGGTGGCGCTCCCATGTCCGTTTTGTCGCGCCCTTCCATTTAATTAGGTACTCCCACCGTTCGGTCGCGTCCTCTCCCGTCTCCCCCGTTCGTCGTGCCCCGTCGATTCGTTCGTACGTCCATTTGTCTTCGCCCTTTACTTGTCCATTTCGGACTCCCCTCTGTTCTGTCGACGCTTCCGCCGCAATTCGGATGGCTATTCTCTGATCACTTCTGTTCCATTCTAGCCCTGCCTCGTCCCATCGCTCGTGCCTCCCCGCAAACCATTGTGCGGTCGTCGCCTCTGGCTGTCCGTTTAACTCGCCTAGTAGCTGTTCGTAGTCCTCTTTATCTGTCTTGCCCCGCAACTCATGGACCCTCGATGCCTCAGTCCACGTCATCCATCCGTCGCCCTTCTCGTTTGTCACGTCGCTCCACCATACCAATCCGACCTCCGCGAGCCTCTTCTTGTATGTGCACCGTCGGGCGCCTCGCCTCCACATGGTCATGCTGTCTTCCCATAGTCGCGGGCCCCGCACTGTTTCCTGTTGGCCAGTCATCTCCCACAGGTCATCATCGAGGCCGTCTTTCATCTGCATCGACGTCCTCATGCCTCGTAGTCCTGCCCGATTCCGCTGTAGGTAGTATGCCTCCATCAGGTTTCCTTCATTTAGTTGCTCGTCGGGTATGAATGTCGTGTCCCATTCGAGTGGGTGTTTGCCGCGGCACCCCAGTCTCCATGCCGTCCTCGCCAGCGCATATCTCGCGACCATCCCCGCGGGTCGTCCCTCTGGTGCCGAGAGCATGTTGTCGATCGTGCTCATCCAGCTCGCCGTGGCTACCTGATACGTGTGCATGCTCCCTTCACCACCCTCTTCCTCCGCCGCGTATAGGTGTGCCTTCGGGTATGCTGTTCCTGCTCCCTGTCGCTCTATCGCGTCTCGCCTCGCAACTTCGATGGCGTCGCAGTCCTCCATCGTCATGACGGTCCCTCTTGCAGCCGCTCCGACCACCCCTTCCATCGCGGCGTTCATCGCTCGTTGCATCTCGTCCGCATTTAATTGCGTGAGCGCGCCCACCATTTTCATTAGCCGCGTCGCTTCCCTTCTCGTTTTTTGTCTCGCCGGTTCCATCCCCTTCTGCCACTGGGCGGTTATCGGGGTGCCCAGGTATTTGTAGATCTCGACCGCCGCCGCTTCCACCGCCGTTTGTCTCGCCGTCTGTACGTCGTCTTCTCCCTTGCTCGTCTGTCCTCTCGCTGTCGAAGTCGCCCTCTTGATGCTGCGTGGTGCCCGTATCTGTGGAATTTCCGTCCCGTCGAGGAGTCGCATTGGCGCGCCTTCTATGTTTCGTGCGATCCCATTCTCGAGAGACCCCAACGCGACCAGGGGGTCCCAGAGCGCTAGGACATGAAGGGGCCCGGGAGCCTTCATACTGTAACATGCACAGGAGTAAGGAGTAAGGAGCAAAAACAGCAAGCTGTGACCGGTAGCGGACTGACCGCCACCGTACCTCCGAAGAGGGACCAAACCTAAGCGGGTGCGCGGCACAGCGTGAGCTGGTTGGCGCTCGCAGAGCAGCCGCAGCCGCAGCCGGGGTTGATGTTGCACGTCATGTCGTACTCGAACACGGCACCATTTGAGCCGCGCTGGAACAGCCCGTCCTCCATCGTGGCCCGGATGTTGCAGGAGTGCAAGCAGAGGCAGTCCGTGGGAGTCGAGCTAAAGCTACTCCCGACGAAGAGGTCCGTGTTGAGAGGGGTGGGGCTGAGGCCGTGCGTCGGATGCGCCACGCCGAGGAGCTCGCCTGTGACGGCGGAGGCAGGAGGCAGGTCTGACACGTGTTGGTCGGTGGAGACCAGAGCCGTTTGGCGGGCGAGCGCACCGCCATCCCCCACAACCTGCTGGTTGGTGGAGCAAGTGAGCGCCTCGCCTCCGGGCGCACACGTGCAGTCGCCGCCCGAGCCGTCCAGCCAGTAGCTGTAGTTTTGCTGCACGACCACGCTGGCGCCGCAAGGATGTGGAGGCGGTGGCGAGGGAGCAGGAGAAGGGGGCGGCGGCATCGACGGGAGGGGAGAAGTGGGCGGCGGCGGCGGCGGAGCGGGGGACGGTGGCGGAGAGGCCTGCAGCACCGGCCCCTCCGGCCCGAACTGTGCGCTGACGTGCGCTCTGAAGGCGTCTGGGCATGCCACCTTCCTGAACCTGAGCCGCGACGGGTCTCCGCGCGTCCAGCCCCAGGAGGTGAAAAGCCGGCAGCCGGCGACGAACGGTGCCGGAAGCTGGTCGCACAAGACAGCGCACTGGCGCGTGTCGGCGCAGCTTTCCCACCATCGGCCGAGTAGTTCGCTCTGCTCCTGGTTGTCGAACCCCGTTCCCGCTCGCTCGCTGCACACGTTGGCTGTGGACGCGGGCAGAAAGTCGAAGCCGGGAGCCGCAATGTCAACATGGAGCTCGCCGTCCCCGCAGCCGTTGGTCCACGGCGGACAGCGGTTCTTTTTCATCACGACAGCCGTCCAGCCCGCATTAACGGCGTCAGGATTCTGCACAAGCAGGCAGTTTCCACAGCCGCTGGGTATCGGGGTGCGTCCGCAGCACGGGTCGTCGTCGCCAAGCATTGCAGCGAGGCTGTCCGAGGCAGCGCCGAGTAGCCACATCCGCTCCCCGTAGGCTGCGCCGCCGTGGTCTGCGGGGTCCTGAGGACCATAGCCCGGCGGCGAAACGTAGGCTGCTCCTTCTTTCCACGGCTGAAGCGTCGTGGCGTCACAGCCCTGTCCATTACAATCCCAGTAGTGCGTCGCTGCCATCAGTCGGTCGTCCCACGCAGGCGGCGGTGGCGATGGAGGAGGTGGTCTCGGCGGTGCCGCGGGCGTTGTCTCGGAGTTAGGGGTCGCCAAGGTGACATTGTTGGTGTTCTCGCTCTCTTGCCGGTCCGCGCTTACGAGGAGGCCGACGCCAAGAGCGAGACCAATCACGGCAAGGGCGAGGCATGCGAGGAGCCAGCGCCTGCCGGCAGCCCACGAGTTAGCCACCACGTGGCTCCGGCGTCCAGTGCGGCCTTGTCCGTTTTTCATGCAATCGCCACGCTTTAGCGCCCAAGGAACGCATTGCGAGAGAGTCTCGAGGTCTCGAGGTTTCATTACGTTTTTGTGGTTTGGCATATGGGGATCCCCCCCCCCCCCCCCAGGTTTCATTGCGACTCTACCGATAACAGTCATTGTTTAGCCGCGTGGGGCGTCCCTGTCCGGCTGGCCGCTAAGTGGCGTGGCGCTCACTCAGCCCTCAGTCTTCCTTCCGTTCATTCATTCAGCGATGGCGCGCTCGCCGGCCCGCGCGCGTGCGCGCGCATGCGCGAGCGTTCCGCCCACCTCTGGCGCGGCGGGACTGCGCCGAGTGGGCGAAACGTGTCCACGACCAAACAGTCTCTGCACGCGCTCGACTGAATGGCCAAGCTTGGAAGGCGCTCCCGCCGGTAGCGCGACTCAGCAGCTCTCGAGAGCTCTTAGCTCGCGTCCGACGAGCCAAGCAGCGTCCCGGGCGTGGAGTAGCGCGCAAATTGGGTCAGCTCGCGCTCTTTGAGTTCCGGGTGCCCAATAAAGTGGTGCACGAGCGTGCGTGGGTATAGGGGTTTTGCAGAACGTACCACGGCACCTGACGGATGGCGCGCCGCAGCCGCTCCTCCGACATGACGCACTTGACGAAGGTGTGGCCGGCCCGATCGGTACAGCCTTCAGACGGGCCTTGATGCTGTCTGAAAGGGCCGATATCGAGCGGTAGCATCTGGGGCAGCCTGGTCACGCTTGCGATGCCGCGACTAGCGCTCGTCTGCTGCACGCGCGGCTCGCGAGGCAGCCTTCTGACTCCACAGCCCGCACAAACACCCGTTTAGGCGAGAGGAGAGTCGTCCCCCCCCAAGTCGACAGCGCAAAATCGATTTCTGGTAACGATTTCACCGGAAAACGCTGGTGCAGATGAGTATTATTCCTTCGAAGTCCGACAGTTGCACCGCTGCAAGGGCGTGCGTGGCGGTGCGGTGAGGCCGCGGACTCGGCCATCATCCGCGGGTGAGAGGGCGAGAGGAAGCATGTCCGCCCTCTGAGGCAGCAGTCCGAGTCGGGGAGGCACGCGCCCGACCATCCTCGTGGGTGTGGGCGGCCTTCTCGGCCCGCTATACTAACCCTAAAGCCGTAAGTCGGCCCTTCCTCGTGGCTGGCTTCGGAGGCCCCGGCCACTACGGTCGCGCAATAAATAACAAAAAAACGTCCCATAAGCTCGGGTGCTCAACCGTGGTCAGTACTGCTACGCATATGCAAGGAGGCCCATATGCATACGCATCACATTACGCCCTTTCGGGAATACGTAACCACGGTGCGTGTACGTCACTTGCCAGTCCAAATGCGTCGCATTCGCAGCCCGTCGAACGCCTCCCCCTTCAAAAAAATAGAAGACGTCAATACATACACGTAATCATCGCGTGCGTGACGGTGCGATGGCCCTGTGGTTGCCTCATACGTACCACGTGTGTCACGTATACGGATTATGGATCTCAGCCGGTGCGCCGCGGCCCGCGGGGGGGCGGGGCGTCTTCGACGTATCACGTATCCGCATTACGCATACGTCTTTTTCACCGCAAGCTTTGCCCGGGGGATGGTACAATGGCCCGCGCGGCGGGTGCCTTACGCGACTTACGTACCACGGTCACGTTTACGGATTACGTATATCTCGCCCCGCGCGCCCCCGAGCCCCCCCCCCCCCCCCGCTTGTACGTATCACGCATACGCATTACGTGGATTTGCATCGCGCGTCGGGTCGCCGCGGTTGGGCGGGCAGTGAGGGAGGCCTTGCGATGCGACATGGATGTCATGGAGGCGATTGCCTTTGGGCATCAAGTCGGCGATGCCTGTGATTTTTTTCTGCGCGTTTGACTCGCATGTGGAGCTTTGGCGGCGGTCTCGGGCACGGACGGCGCGCGTCGGTTGCGCAAGGCGTTACTCTCGAAACTCGTCGTCGACGACGCAAATGGTGCTCGAACTCCCCGCGGCCCGAAACGGTACCTACCTTCCGTGTGTCTCGCGCCTTGCGGGGGGGGAGCGGAAAGGAGGAACCTCTTCCCAAGAGCACCACTCTTGGAGCGCCGCCACTACCACCCAGAGCGCTGCAAGCAGCGCCGGGCAATGACGGCTTACCGCCCACCCAGCCCCCCCTCGGCACACCCCGGCAGCCAATGTGTGACGGTTCGAACCCGCTAAGCCATCCCGCAAGCGGGATGGCCCGCCACTCGAACCCGCAAGCGGGCGTACGAACCGCGAGCGGCTCGCACTCGTGACACGCAGGCGTCCGACAGACGGCGCCGGGGCTAGGCGACCGAAGAGGAACTACGGCAAGAACCGCACACCACCCGCTGACGAGCCAGGGGCGTGCGCGAGACAGGGCTCGAAGCCCTTTTCTGTGAGCAGGGATTCCCTCCCGGCGGGGGTTGTGGCGGAGAGCCGGCATGGGAATCGCCGGCCCCCACCCAGGGGGTGCCCCTGCCAGGCGCCGCAAGCGGTGCCCGACAGGGGCGGGTGCCCCCACCCCGAGGGGTGGGGGCGGGGTCGGGGTCCAAAGTGATCCGGCCCATCGCCTCGGGGGGGTGGGGGGGGCAAAAAGGAATCTCTTCCCAAGAGCACCACTCTTGGAGCGCCGCCACCACGACGGCTCTGCGACGGCTCGAACCCGCTAAGCCATCCCGCAAGCGGGATGGCCCGCCACTCGAACCCGCAAGCGGGCGTACGAACCGCGAGCGGCTCGCACTCGTGGCACGCAGGCGTCGAGAGACGGCGCCGGGGCTAGGCGACCGAAGAGAAACATCGCAGCCTGCTGAACGCGATCGCACATTTGCTACTGATCCAAAAGACCGTGAGCGGGGACGAGACCGCCGCTCTCGTTCACGAAGAGACATCGTGAGCGTCGACGAGAGAGGAAGCATGTCCGCCCTCTGAGGCGGCAGTCCGAGTCGAGGAGGCACGCGCCCGACCATCCTCGCGGGTGTGGGTGGCCTTCTCGGCCCGCTATACTAACCCTAAAGCCGTAAGTCGGCCCTTCCTCGTGGCCAGCTTCGGAGGCCCCGGCCACTACGGTCGCGCAATAAATAACAAAAAAACGTCCCATAAGCTCGGGTGCTCTCAATCGTGGTCAGTACAACGACAATGGCAGTGAAGTACCAAGAGACACCTTCTCCGCCGACAGTCAAACAGTTCCCTCGAGGTCTCACAGGACCCAACACAGCAGGTTGCAGAGGCGCGCGGGCCTCGCCCCGACCCCTCGCCCGTTCGCGTCGGCGACGGGAGAGGAAAGGAGAGGCGGCCGAGCAGGGGGCCGACGAATGCTCCACACACTTCAGTCCGCTCACGCCGACGGGCGGCGGCAATTAAGTCACATCCGCGGCCGCACGTCGATCACCTCGTACGCGAGCCCCCCCTCGACCGTCACCGTCTCGACGTCGCCCGTCGGCTCCAGGTACGTCAGCGGCGGGAAGAGGAACTCCGCCTCGCCGGGAAAGGCGGAGAGGAAGCAGATGTCGGGGCCGCGTTGCATGAAGGACTCGGTAATAAGTCGCAGCAGCACCGACGTGCTGCTCGCCGAGTAGCGCATCGCCACGCTGAGGTCGGACGTGGTCGACATGGGCGCCAGCTCGGTGCCACCTTGCGCCATAAAATCAGCCGGCGCCGTCACGTCTTTCATGCCGCGGTAGAGATAGACGCGGCGCATCGCCGTCTTGCCCGAGTTCTGATCCGCCTCCACCGCCCGCAGCTTGCCGAGGGCGTCGCGAAGCAGCGCCACCGTGACCGGCAGCTGGTGCGGCTCGCCGCGCTCGAATCGCGCCTTGTCACGGAGCGGGTTGTTGATCGAGCGGAACGCCTGCGGTCAGGGAGAAGGTGAGAGGGCAAGAAAGGATCGAGATCGCGGGAGAGGGAGAAGGGGGTGCCTGCGTTGTGTAGAGGCGAAGTGCGACCACGTGCGCCTCGGTCAGGTTCGCGTGCCGCGCGCTCGCGTGGGAGACAAAGTCCTCCAGCCGCATCCCACGCATTTTGCCGTTGCCGTCAGTCACGGTGCGGCACGCCATCACCCTGCCGCGCTCGTCGCAGTCGCGCTTCAGCCCGCCTTGATAGGTGCGGTCGCTCGAGCCCGCCTCGGCGTGCAGGATGTAGCTTAGGCACTCGCGGTCGTCGTCAGTTCCGCCGGCGCTCACCTCCCGCACGATGGCGGCGGTGCCCTCGAGCAGCCCCTGCGGAACAACTTCTGGCGCCACGCACATATAGTGCTCGATCCCCAGTGCCGCCTGTGCCGGCCGGCCAAACACGAGCTCGCTCGGCAAGGTGGCGAAGCGGTTCTCTTTGGTGGCTGCAGAGGCGATGAGTATCGTCTCGAGGCCACCGTCGAGTGAAGCGACGGCCTCGAGCATCATGTCGCGGAGCGACGGCCTCTCCACTGGTGCTTCGCCATGCGGGGTCTTGCGGCAGCTGTGGCCGCGGCGCAACAGCACAAACAAGATCACGACGAGTAGGACGATGGCTCCCGCGGCGACGCCCCCCGCGATGGCGCCGACGGGCGCGCTTGCCTCGCCGCCGGTTGTTTGGCCTTGTGCACTCTCCCACTCTCTCAGACAGACGTCCCGGTTTGGAGCTCCGCAGCACGGGGCCGTAGGTTCGCAGACGGTGATCGTCGGTGGGCCGCATGCGAGGTCTGCAGCGGAAGTTGTCTCCTCCTCAATCATGTGGATCACGCCCTCGCCGACAAGCCCTGTGGGAGCAGATATGATGAGAGTGAGGTCCAGGTTAGTCGCGGCATCGCAGTCATCCGAAAGCCTCCGCCCAGAGACTGCTGCTGCGAGGTTGCAAGCTGGCGTGGGCGGTGATGGCGCTTCGTGAAGCGGCGGGAACGCGAGGGCCGGGACACAATCGCCAGTAGCGAGGTTGCTCTCAACCTCGATCTCGCGGCAGGTTTGTGCTCCGACCTGGGTCAGGTTCACGAGCAGCGAAGCACGCTCCTCGTCGCATAGGCCGTAGTAGTCCTCGACGGAGACGGTGAGCAAAAAGGAGGCGTCGATGACCACGGGGAGGTCCGCTGGTAGCGAAGGCGGGCTCGGCGGTGGCGGTGTGTGAGGCGGTGGAGACGGCGGCGGCAGCGAGGGCGGCGGAGAAGGCGGGGGCGGCGAGGGCGGCGGAGAAGGCGGGGGCGGCGGAGAAGGCGGAGGCGGTGAGGGCGGAGGCGGCGACGGTGGCAGGGACGGCGGCGACGGCAGGGACGGCGGCGGCAGGGACGGCGGCTGCGCAGCCCAGCACACCTGGAATAGGGAGGGGGGGGGGGGGGGGGGACCGGGGTTGGGTGAGCGCGAGAGCTCAGGAGGGCAGTGTGCAGGGAGCAAGAGAGAGAAAGGAGCGCGCGCCTTCCAGCCAGACATGGTGACTTCCCCGTCAGAGACCCACGTCATGGTCCCATTCGACGGCACGACCCCGGCCGGGCCCGAGGTGCCGCAGTACCTCACGCCGTTGACGAGGAGGTGGGCGTAGGGGCAGTTCGCGCCGGACTCGCAGCCGCAGCAGCCGTCGTCGGGGCAGTCCACGTCAAAGGCGATCACGTCCAGCCCGGCCTGCGGCAAGCCGTATAGGGTGCAGCCCTCGTCGATCGGGTAGTCGTTCGGGAAGTCGGGCGAGGTGGCGCACGAGCCGCCGTCGGTGATCAAACACGGGCCGGTGGTGCAGACGTCGCCGAACGGGCATGGCGGTAGGGACGGCGGCGGCGGCAGGGACGGCGGCGGCGGCAGGGACGGCGGCGACGGCGGCAGGGACGGCGGCGGCGGCAGGGACGGCGGCGACGGCGGCAAGGACGGCGGCGGCGGCAGGGACGGCGGCGACGGCGGCTGCGGAGCCCAGCACACCTGGAATAGGGAGGGGGGGGAGGGGGGGGGCACAGGGGGACCGGGGTTGGGTGAGCGCGAGAGCTCAGGAGGGCAGTGTGCAGGGAGCAAGAGAGAGAAAGGAGCGCGCGCCTTCCAGCCTGACTCGGTGACTATCTCGTCAGAGACCCACGTGATGTTGCCATCCGACGGCACGACCCCGGCCGGGCCCGAGGTGCCGCAGTAGCTGACGCCGTTGACGATGAGGTAGTCGTAGGGGCAGTACCCCTCATACGTCAACCCCCCAAACTCCACGTCAAAGGCGATCACGTCCAGCCCGGCCTGCGGCAGGCCGTAGATGATGCAGCCCTCGTTGACCGGGTAGTCGTTCGGGAAGTCGGGCGAGGTGGCGCACGAGCCGCCGTCGGTGATCAAGCACGGGCCGCTGGTGCAGACGTCGCCGAACGGGCATGCCGGTAGGGACGGCGGCGCGATTAGTGGGGGCGCGATCGGGGGTGCGGACGGTGGCGCCGCTTGTGAGCCACTCGCGTCCTGCAGGAAGATGAGCACAATGCAAACTCGGAGAGCACGCGAACAGGCGAGCAAATGCACGGAGCCAGCTGCATGGCTGCGGCCCTCCACCCTCTTCTTCTTCACCTGCAGCCTGCGCACCAGCCCGCGGCACGCCGCGAGCAGCGCTAGCACGGCTGCACAAGGATGGAGAAAGAGCAGAGAGGCCGCAGAGAGGGCCGTGACGGTCGTGAAGCTCGCCTCAGGTGAGGGGTCGCCGATCTTGGTCGCGCCGGAAGTCTCGACAAAGGAGGCGAGCTCGGCGTAGGCGCCGCTGAGCTTGGAGGTCGTCGGGACGGACGTGACGGCGGTGAGAGCGGGTCCGCCCTCACTTATGTCCGCCGCGGAAAAGTAGCCGGAGCACTTGCCACTTGTCCACACGGGGTCGAGGTCGTCATCGACAGTATTTGTACGGAGCAGCTGATTGTCGTGATGAATAGCCTTGCGGAACGGGTCGCCCGCCAACGTGCCGTACCTGCTGTTGTTGCAGACGGCCACGCCTCCATTCGGCAGCAGAAAGAGGAGTTGCATCGCGAGGATTTGCATCGCGCGTCGGGTCGCCGCGGTTGGGCGGGCAGTGAGGGAGGCCTTGCGATGCGACATGGATGTCATGGAGGCGATTGCCTTTGATTGGGGATTTTACGGGCAATCCGCCGTGATTTTTTTCTTCGCGTTTGACTCGCATGTGGAGCTTTGGCGGCGGTCTCGGGCACGGACGGCGCGCGTCGGTTGCGCAAGGCGTTACTCTCGAACTCAAACCCACCAACAGCGCCACCCTACAACGCAGGCAGTCCGCCACGCGCCCGATGTAGAGCTCTACATCTCTACATTGCTCAAACAGCGCTCCAGAGCGCTCGATCAGAGGAGTACGAAAAAACGAGAGGAAGGCGGAGGTTTCTGTCTGGCCAAACGATCCAACGCGGTGCCGGTGGCCCATACTGAATGAATGGGCGCGACCTCCAGTCGAGGTGGCAGCCGTCCGTCTGTGCACATTGTCTCGTCAAGACGGTACCCGGCATCTAACTCATTGAAATACGAGACACCAATGTCGGCCGGGGCCAAGACTGGCGGCATCATCTGCTTGGCGCCATGCTCATTATGATACAGGTCCGCGCTTTGTGGTTTCACAACGCGTTTGGTCCTCGCTCTGGTACGGCTCACCAGATGCGACAGGAGGGCTAAAATCCGGAATATAGATTGCCAAGAGGGTGCTCTAGGCCGCGAAGACACCACACACGGTCTCCCTACTCATGCGCGGCTAGCAGGAGGGTGCCAAAAATGAGGCGCGTTTGTGAACCCGCAGCTGGCCCCGCCGACGGGTAGCACAGGTCATGAGTGAGGCCACGCCAGCTGCCTCGGGTGCTCCGTGTGGTCGGCCTGGACCGTGCCGCAAGCCTCGAGCAGCGGAGAAGCGCTGTCCTTCCTTGAAGTCCAGACATGCTTCGCCGCCGTGGCGCAGCGCCGCAGTGCGAGCGAGCACTGCACTGCAGTGCTCGCTTGCAGTGCGGCACCCATTCGACTCCCTGCGCTCCGGGCACATTGTCAAATGTGCCGGCGGCCTTGTGGACGGCTCGGGCACGATTTGCACGACGGCGCGGCCGGGATTTGCACGATTTGTGAAAACGAGTGTTGCGAACCGAAGCCGCCTGGTACGCTGTGACGCGCCCGCCGAGTCAGCGGCCAGCCCGGCCCGGCCGGGGCCCCCTTTCTAAGATGCCGAAACTGCACGAAAACGGGCCCAAGATTGATGTCAGCGGTCTCGCCGCCCCTCTGCTTCGTGGTGAAAGCAGCGACACGCCGCCGCTGTCGCCGTTGCCGCTGTCGTCTGGCGAGGAGCGGCTGGCGATGCGGTGCGCTGTTGCCATTGTCTTCACGACCACATTCCTCTGGGGAATCGTCCCGGGCGACGCCGTAATGCGATCGCTGGTCGTGTGTGGTGCGCCATCTCTAACGCCGCACGACTCGCCAGCTTGGAGCGGCTCAGATCGATGCGGAGATCAGAAGCTGGTGCTGGCGACAACCGCGCGACTTGGCGGCGACTTGGGCACGATCAGCAACCTGGGCCACCTGGTGGGAGGACCGATTATCGCCGCTGTTGCTGACACTAGCAGCCGCACTCGTGCCATTGCAATCTCTGTCGCGCTCGTAGTGTCGTCAAAGTGCCTGTTTGCAGTCGTCTATGTCGTCTCGGGCCGCCTCGCGGCTGGCCACGCGCCCGCCGGAAGCGGCGACATCGCCTTCCTCGCCATCCCGTTCCCTATACTCGTGCTCTGTGGGGTGCAAACCTCCTCCTGGCGGGCTCTCGACCGTCTTGTCCGTTCCAACAGCGGCGCTAGCCTGAGTAGGTGCTCTCCAGTCTCAGCTCCTTTAGCGCGCCTCTCAACGCGTGTCCTCTTGCCGCTGCGCTCGTGACGAGCGAGGACGGCTCTTCTAGCCCAGGAACTTTACAAGTAGGCGCTCATTGGCGACGTGACCCCCACCGCTTCACGCGGCGCTGTCTTTGCCCGGCTGACCGTCTGCCACGGGGTTGCGGCCGGCGTGTCCCAGGTGCTGCACCTGCTGCTTCTCCGGCTCTACCTCACAGACTACACTCCCATCATCGTGGCGGTCGCACTCCTGTCGCCGTTGCCCGCTGTGCCGCTTCTCGTTCTGATGCGGCGGGCGCGCTTACCTGCCCGCAAGGTATTGTGCGAGGCGCCAACACCGCCAGCGACTGGCAAGGCAGCTGAGAGCGCAGAGGCAGCTGGGAGCGCAGAGGAGCGGGGCCCCAGGGCAGCAGTGCGGCTGCTCTTGCGTGAGCGCCGGCTGTTGTGCGCTTGCGTGAGCACATTCGTCTTCATCTTTGGCGTCCACGGCGGCGGCAGCTTGATGAACTCGCTCACGCTAGCGCTCGGCTGGCGGCAGGGGGACCTGTACACGCTGCACCTCGTCATCACGCTGCCCACCAGCTTGACGTGCATCACGCTCGCGAGCCGATTTATTTTCCCGCGCATCGGAACGGCGGCGGCTGTCATCCACGGCATCGCGTGCTTGCTGCTGATGTGCTTGGGATTCGGCGTCGCTCCTTGGCTCGGCGCCGGCGCCATAGGGCTCAGCCTCTTCCTCATCGGCTGCGCCGCTCCCGGCGTCCCCGCCCTGCTGGCGGTCCTCACCGAGCAGGCGCCGCCACGGCAGCTTGCCATGGCGCAGGCCTGCCTCTCGGTCGTTGCGACCCTCGCCATCGGGATCTCCACGTCTGTGTTTGGGCACCTCTTTGACCCGAGCACCCCGGAGAGCGCCGCCCGGCCGTATGCGCTCAGCCTGGTGCTGGGCACTCTCGGGGCCTGCCCGCTGCTCGCGCTGCTCGTGCCAATCGCGCGCGAGCAGCTCCGCGCGCTGCGAGTGGGGGAGGGAGCAGGCTCGGAGTGAGAGCCAGTCGCGCGTAAGAGCTAAGAGTCAGAAACGGGTCCACGCGGCGCACCATCTCGACCGAGAGAGAGAGGTGTACACAGGTGGCCCTCAGGGGCTCCCAGCTCGCTCGCGCGGCGAGAGCGCTACTCTATCTAGCCTGACTCTCTGCGGACTTGGCGGTCGGGGCGCGGTCTCGACTGTCGGTCTCGACTGACTGGGTCCAGCCCTGGGTGGCGCAAGATCTGACGTTCTGTGACAATCGTCAGATCCGTGTTTTTCTCGTTGTTTTGTCGCTCGCTCCGCTCGCCACCTCACGCTCCGTAGTCCGGCCATGGCCAGTACCCCGCGTCTCAGTGAGACGCGTGGTACCATCCAACTCCGGTCGAAGGGCTCGAATGCGCTCAGCCTCAGGAGGAACAAAAGGTCCACGCAAATTCTGCACGCCTCGCTGCGCCGCTGGCTTGACTGAATCAGGCAGCAGGCTGCTGCTGCTGCTGCCACAGCAGCAGTCTGCTGCGGCCCTAATACGCAAGTTAATGACTAGCAGCACTGCCGGGGGCATTCGAGCCGCCACAGCCGGTGTGCGGCCGTGCACTGCCACCTGCCTGCGGCTACGCACAATGTGCGCTCGCATTGGATGAGCCCTGCTGATGGACCTGCGTCGCCTAGCTGCACGAGAGCAATGCCGCAGGCGGTGGCCGTGGCATACACTGCGAGCACACTCGGTGCAGCTGCGAGGTGCAGCAAGAGCACGTCGTTCCTGCCTCTGATGCCACTCTCGCGGCTTGTAGCGCGTCACTCGCGCATGCTCTCCAGGAGCTATGGCGGGCGCGTGTGTGGGGCTGTAGCCTGTGTTTGGCCGGTTCTGACCCGTTTACTATCAGTATCATGCCCGGGCCACAAAAAATCGCACACGGGTAGCGGCTCAGGGGCCCAGTAAGTCGCGGAATCGCCAAATGTCACAAAACCTGCGCCACCCAGGGCTGGACCTAGTCGACTCTCTGTCCTCTCTCTTTTGACTGCAGTCTCGACTCTCTGTCTCTCCTCTCTCGTACGAGGGAAAACAGAAATCTCGAAAAAAGGAACACACGCACCACGACCAGCAGGCAGCACCACGCGACACCTGTGCGCATCACGGTCATCGACACTTGGTCACACTGAACACCACCACAGTACAGATAGGAGATCGGACCCCACGTAACATGGACCCGGGACCCAGAAATCGGAAGCCGCGCAGACCGAGTCCCCGGCACTGCGCAGCCGACGTGCCCCCTCTCTCGGAGCGTGTCGAGCCCTTCGCCACGACACGGTAACTCGAGCTGTGCCCCCTCTAAGCAGGGTCAACCCGCGGGTTGACCCTGCCGCCGGGCGTGCGCTGGATTGCAACCTCGGCAGCGATGTACCCGACGATCGCTACGGCGGCGCAGGTGCCGGCGGCATACGCCATCGCGTGGCGGCCGAGCGAGGGGAAGGTGAAGTACGCGACGGCGGAGGCGGCGCCGTTGGCGAGGACGATGTTTGAGAAGGCGGCGGGCGAGTCGGCAGGCCCGAAGGTGTCTGCGTAGAGCGCCTTGTTGACCCCCTCGTACCCGGCGCGGCCGGCGCCTTGCAGCAGGTAGAAGGGCAGGACGGTCACGAAGGCGGGCGCGGCGAGGCCGTCGCTCGTTGCGAGGACGAGGGCGGCGAGGGCAGCGAACGAGAGCAGCGCGGCCAGCAGGACAGCGGGGCGGCCGACACGCTTTGCGGCGGCGCGCGAGACGGGCTGCGGGGGGGGGGGGGGGCGGCCTGGGCTAAAAAACCTTCTAAATGCCGCCGGGGGGAGTGTGGGAGACCCCCCCCCTGCAAAAAAAAAGCGGCGGCGGTTTAAGGCCCGCCCCCAAGAAAAAAAGGAGTTCCCTCAAATACCCCCCTTTTCTAAGAAGAGGCCCGCGGGCTTTTTTTACCACTTTTCCATCTCGGGTGAACAGGGGTAAAAAAAGAGGG